TTCCAAACGTGTATCACTTGATTCTCTTCAAATGAAAGTATGTTATTTTTGTCTATTGATGTGGTTAGTTTAGAGACTTTAATTCAGCCGGTGGTGGTTACTAAGTAACTTGCGTTTACTAAAAGCAACCTTTACTAAAAGCTCTAGTAATTCCTATGTTTTAATTTGCTTTAGTTAACTTTTCAAGGTACTCTTTTGGAAATGGGTACGTTATTTAACTTGAAATAGTCAGGTGTTTTGCTTTCTTTGATTTTAGTTCTACCTGCAAACATTACAGGCTGTCTCTGTGATTCAGGATCTCCTTGCAAGATGAAAGATTAGAAACTGACCTAAAATTTACCTGGATTTAACATTGTATTTAATAATCATGCATAATTTTATCTTCTTCTTATGTGCTTCTCTGATCAAGTTTATTTCATTTTGAATAGAAGTAAAATGAAACATTCACTTGTTTTTATTGAGCTGTATCCAAAAATACATATTCAAAATAAAATTGCTCAGTGGTCTGAAGTAACACAGAAACTGCTGTTCTCTTTATAATGAAATGTCATTCACGGGCCAGCCAAATAGCGCAGCGAATTAACGCACCAGCAAGCAAGCTCAGGGGCCGGAGGTTTGATCCCCAGGCCTGCCATGCTGGCCCCACCCCTGGGGCATGCTGCGTTGGCAATTGAGACTGGGCATGGTGGTGCGCGCCTGTAATCCCAGCTCTTGGGAGGCTATAAACAGGTGATCACTAGGAGTCCAGTCTAGCAATGAGACCCTGAACACCCTGTAGACCCTTCTCTAGGAGAAAAAAAAAAAAAAAATGAAATGTCATTCACATCGAGTATTTATTTGCTGTGACACTTGGGCACTGGAATAAAAGTTTAAGGCATTTTCTCTTACTAAAATCCTTGGACGTCAGGGTTAGAATTTTGATTTGATGTGGTAGCTAGGTGTAGGTTGTTTGAAAGGGAATAAACGGTGAAATTTTTTGTAAGAGCACTTTGTCAACTAAGTTTTGAGTGGAGGTCTAGTGATAAGAGAATGACATAAGATCCAAGGGATATAGAGATGGAGACAGGACAACTTCAGGAAGTCAGACATTAAGATTCTTTGTTCTAAGTGAAAAAGGGTAAACGAGTGATCATCAGTATACTGTAAGGTCTGCCTGTGACACCAGTTATCGCATCTTGTTCCTGCTGAGCTCACGGGATTTTGTGAGTATTTGGTGAACATGTATTAACCTATATCAGTGTTAGTTACTGAATATGTGTGATATGCCAGAGACGGTCATATGATGTGACATGTTAGCTACCTCAAGGATGTGACAGTGGCCAAGAACAGGAGACCTTTCTGCCACTTATTAATTCTGTATATCCTTTGGCAGGTTCTAACTTTCCTTAGCCTCTACCTCTTCATGTTTCAGTTGAGATGTTAGTTTCTTTCTCAAAGGTTTTGAAGAGCAACACACTAGTAAATAAGTTTATGAAAAATGCTTTTAAATGTCTGGGTGTGGTGGCAAAGGCCTATAAACTCAGCACTCTGGGATATGGATGCAGGAGGACAACAAGCTCCAGCTGAGCCCGGCCAACTTAGTGACTTAGTGAGATTTTGGCTTGAAATAAAGAATTAAGACAAAGGGAGTAATTCAGTGCAAGGGCCCTGGGTTTAATCCCCAGCAATGTATGTTAAAAGATAAAAATTTAAAAATAGCGCCTGGAAAAAGCTCAGAGTTTTATCAGTAGGTACCATTTTGTAGAATAAAAAAATTAAGGTAAAAGAGGCCAAGTAAATTACTCAGGTCCATAGGCTGGTGCTTGAGAGAGAGGAGGACTGCGTGGGACAATCTGAACCCAACACTTGTCCTCCTGTGCGTATCTTGTCTCCTGTTTCATGTGCTGGAGGTCCAGATCAGAGCAGAGTGCAGGCTTGCTCTGATGGAAGTTTAGGGTTCCAACTATTTTCATCTCTAGTACAGAATGAGTGCCTATATCATTGCACATTGTTTTTTGCTATTTTTCCTTGACATTTTTATTTTGGTCTTTTTATTATTTTATTTATTTAAATGTATTTGGTACAGGGTCTCCCTATATAGTTCAGACTCCTAGTGATCCTCCTGTTTTCAGCCTCCCTAGTGCTGGGATTACAAGTGTGTACCACTGTGCCCAGACTCAATTGCTGGCTCAGCGTGCCCAGGGCTGAGGCCAGTGCGGCACGGGGTACTGAAATCAAACCTGGTCCCTGCACTTGCCTAAGCAGGCACTTAGTCAGCTGAGCTATCTTGCTGGCCCTGAAATACTTCTTAATGGTGATAGAAAATACTGCTTTAGGCCCGGCCAGATAGCTCAGTGGATTAAAGTGCCTGCATAGGCAGACATAGGGGCCTAGGGTTCAATCCCGGGCCTGCGATGTCTGCCCTGCCCCTGGGGTGTGCTGAGACAGGAATTGAGACTGGGCTTGGTGGCGTGTGCCTGTAATCCCAGTGCTTGGGAGGCTGAAAAACAGGAAGGATCACTACGGGTCTGATCTGTGTAGTGAGACCCTGTAGACCCTGTACTAAATACATTTTAAAAAAGAGAAGAAAAAGAAAAGAAAAGAAAATACTATTTTAAAAATACCAAAAGAGAAAGGGCTTAGATCCCTGGCACCACATTCTGTGCCAGCCTGGCCCCTGGGTGCACTGAGCATGTGACCCCAGTCTAGGGGTGGTGGTGGATGCCTGTAATCCCAATGCTGAGAAGGCTGAAAACAGAAGGATCACTATGAGTCTGAGCTGCATAGGGAGACCATGTACCAACTACATAACTTTTTTTAGAAAGTATTTCACTGGGGGCTGGCGAGATAGCTCAGTGGTCTAAAGCATGTGCTTAGGCAAGCTTAGGCAAGCATGCAGGGACCTCGGTTCGATCCCCAGCACCACATGCCATGCCAGCCTTGCCCCCAGGGTGGGCTGAGCTGACCATAAAAAAAAAAAAAAAAAGAAAAAAGAAATAAATAAAGGAAACATTTAAAAAAAAAAAAAAGTATTTCACTGTATGTTTTTAACGTATATTTCTAATGTCTGTTTTTTAAATTAATTTTTCTACCTAGTACTGCTGATACTTGCAGCACACACTTTGGTCCTTACACTCAGTGACTGTCTGCCGGATGCAGGAAGGCTGTGCCTCCGTGACAGATGGTATTGGCTCTGGGGTGTGTGTCAGCACTCTGACAAACTTGTGTAACTCTCTCCGGGTCTGTCTGAGTTTCATAGATCTTCTAGTTAGGAGCTATAGTGAAAAAATGGTGCTATTTCTAATATTTTATCCAGCTTATTCAGAATATTAGGTGGCAAAATAAATTTTAGCTGCTCTTTGACTTGTTGGAGTAATTATGTTTAATTATAAGAGTTGAAATTTTAACGCGAGATGGGAAGCCTGCTGTGGCAATGAAAAATAAAAACTGTCCATTTCTCCACAGCTTTTTCCCCCTTTGCCGCCGCTCTGGGGCCTGAATCTGGAGCCTCTCATCTGCTGGGCAAGCCCTCTACCACATAGCAGTACCCATGGCTTAATTTTTTTTTTTTTTCCTGAGACAGACAGGATCTCAAACAAAGTTTCCTGGACTAGCCTTGAACTCTGGACCCCCCTGCCTCAGCCTCCAGGGTAGCCAATATTACAGACTTATAGAGATGTGCCCCCCCGGGCCTGGGCTTCTGAGCCTCTCTAGAATAAAAATCTACCATCATTGATTTCAGCATTTTGATATTATTATGTTAATTCTTGTCATTTTGGTTCTCATAAGTTATTTATAAGTAGTAGGTTTTTTTTCCTCCCTCCCTTTTCTTTCCCCCATTTTCTTTCTTCTCCTTCTTTCTTCTTTTCATTATTTTTCCCCTCCCCTTGCTCCTCCATCTCTCCTGCCCCTCCCCCCTTCTTTCCCTGCTGCTGCAGGCAGCCCCAGGGTCTCACGCATGCTAGGCATGTGCTCCACCACTGAGCTGTATCTGGAGCCCCAGCACTGTGTTTCCCAAGCAGTTGTAAGTTCTTCAGAGCATTGTGAAAGGTTCGTGGATAAAACGCGAGCTTAGCTGAAGAAAAAATTTTAGATTTCATCTTGTTTTATCTTTTATTTTTTATTTTTATTTTTAATGTATTAAGTTGTTGCAGGGTCTTTCTGTGCAGCTTGGACTCTTGATGATGCTCCTGTTTTCAGCCTCCCTAATGCTGGGATTACAGGCATGGGCCACCATGCCCGGACTTGGTCACCAGCTCAACCTGCCCTGGGGGGTGGGGCTGGCACGTGGTGCCAGGGATCAATCTGGAGTCCCTGTACTTTCCTAAGATTGCCTAAGCAGGAGCTTTAGTGTGCTGAGCTATCTCGCCAGCCCTTTGCATCTTTAAAAATATACTCTGTAAAAAAAAAATAAATAAATAAAAATAAAAATATACTCTTCATCTTTTGATTTATCCTTTTGTATAAATTACACATTTTATGATTTAAACAGTTCCAGTCCTTTTTTTAAAAAAAAAAAAAATCCTATATTAACTTCTGTGAGTTTCAGATTGATTAAGGGTGATGGAACTTGAGGTTTGGCGCACGGAGTGCCCATCCCCACAGTGCTGATGTTCCAGTAGCAGCCCGGACAGAGCTAGGAGTCTGCAGAGGCTCTGAGCAGACACAGCTGTTACGGCCCCTGTCTGGAGGCCTGACTTGTGATTTGATTCGATGGGTTAATTTGGAAACAGGAGGCCAGCATGACTCATTTTTAACCCTTTCTGGCCCCTTCCTTGTGAAGACTGCCTTCCTGTTTTGCATTTGGTTGTGTTCAGGGAAAAAAAAAAAAAACAAAAAACAACACAGTTCCTCTTAAGAATTTTATGTTTCAGGCTCCAGTAATTCTGCATTTCAAGAGCAATCAACTGTGCACGTTGAACTGAAAGCAGAAGGAAAACTCCAATCTGTAATGGTCCTGTTGATACACAAAAGAATACAACTCCCCACCGGTTGAAGGCCAGAAGTGATGAATTCATGGTCTCATGACATCTAGGAATGAAGTCACAAACCAAAGCAGGAAGTCGAGAGGGTTTTGAAAATACAAGGAAGAAGAACAGCTCCTGGATTCCCAGGAGGGGTGCCAACTAGGTGTCCCCTGAGGCCCTTTGTCAGGGATAACTTGCCCAAGAATGTCACAATGTGGGTACAGTGTGGATCAAACTACAGTCAACCTATAGGATACCAGGTATAGCCTCTCAGCTAATATTCATCCGAAAGGGAAGTGAGTCACATGACAGGGGTACATAGAAAGAATAAAAGCATTCTGGGGAACAGATGGGTCCAGAAGCTCTGGTCACCCACCCCAGCAACTGATGCCTGTTGGGACGCACTGGACCCAGTATTGCTAATTACAGTACAATTGCATAGTGCTGTTTAGCCTCAAGACAGCATGCAAGCCAGCCATTGCAGCTCCTTCTTGGGCCTCCTGCCACAATCTTGATGTGTTTTTTTCTTGTTGTTTTGTTTTGTTTTTTTCTGCTGACCTCCTGAGGGCCCAGTTGCTCTTAACTATACATTAGTTTCTGTCTAACTTAGCTGTCTATAATACTGTAATTTCATACAGCCTATTCTGTCATTATCACCAGAACCATATCTTTTAACTCTAGAAATGCACATTTGAACAACTGAGAAGAAACTCCACTCTCCGAGGCCTGTGGGTCTGTGCTTTAACTCCTGGTGGTTTATAGTTTGCCTGTAGTTCTTTTTCCAATGTGTTTTGTCCTTGAAAAGTTGGCTTAAACATTGTCCCAGGAGATAAGTTATCTTTTACACTTGCAACAAATAAACATGGTAGATGGACTGAGATTAGAAAGGCAGAGGGTAAGAGCTTCATATGGCGGTGCTCCTGCTTAATGGAACAAGGAAATGGCCCACTGATCCTATATAGCGTTTAATTTGCATAAATAGAATCGAAATCACTTGGAATCATGAGTGGTGTGGAACTGAATTTTCTAATTAATGAAAAATCCCTGAGATCAAAATGTGGATCTTGAGAGAAATATAACTATTATATCTTTATGGTATACGCAGTCATCTTTCTTTTGAATGAGTAAAGTATTTTTGAAAAGTTTAGGACAGTAACTAGGGCAGTGATTCTCAAATTAGCCTAAAAAATAAAGTCAAATGTCCTCTACCAGCACAAGGAGGGTGGGTGGAGATTTCCACTTGGCAGACTTCTCATAGGATTAAAAAAAAAAGAAATGTATTTAGTACAGGGTCTCCAGGGTCTCTTTACAAAGGTTGGACTCCTAGTGAACCTCCTGTTTGCAGCCTCCCAAACGCTATGATTTCAGGTATGCATTACCATGCCCAGTCTCAGTCACTGTCAGTGCGCCCAGGGGGCAGGGGCGGCATGGCACCGAATCCTGATCCTTATTCCTACCTAGGCATTAAGCAGGTGCTTTAATCCACTGAGCTATCTGGCAGGCCAGGATTTTTATATAAAATAATCCATACTTTGAGAAAACTCTTATTAAAGGGGAAATCTAATGTTAAGTTTAAATTCTTCCTTTTATTATGTTTTAAGCAATTATTCTTCCTGATTTCCATAGACATTTTTACACAACAATGCAGTACAAACTCAAGCACTGCCTTGAAGTTCATATTTAAGGGAAGATGTTCGATCTCGTAGTTTTGGTGATATCTGTTCTTTGAAGATCAGAATAAAAAAAAGAAAAATACAGGGTAGCAGGAAGTTTTAGGGACACGGGAACACATCCTCCTGAACAGCAGATGTTTAGGTAAGACAGACATTGGCTTGCCGAAAGACGAGTCAGGGAAGACCTGAGAAGGGTGAGAAGATGTGAGTCTGAGTGCGGAGGGGTAGGAGGCACCTCAAGAGTGGGCCAGGTGTTTAAGCTTCCTCTAGCAGGCCCTAGGCCGCTGCGCTGCAGTGTGAGCAGCGTTGAGCAATATAAACCACGTACCCCCCACCCCCCAGGAGGGGCCACACAGCCCGGGACCCAGAAACGGGATCACAGGACGGATGAGCTCACAGGCTGGTTTGCCACCGTAAAGGCAGAGGGCGGGAAAGTGAGGGGTCTGAGCCCTGATTTGCCTGGATGGCTTCAGAGGCGTTGCGGTAAGCTCTCTAGCTGCACATGTGCAGCAGAGAGCTGCTCCTCTGTCTCTGTCTGTGTTGCCACGTGTAGCACTGAGACAACTCAGCACGACCACGGAAGACTGCATGTGAGTAGACTAGGGTTCATATCTGTGGCAACTTACTCTAAACTTCAAGGCTTTGAAAAGTAGAATTTAAAATTTTTTTTTTTTTTTTGTTACTGGGGTTTGAACTTGGGACCTTGCACTTGCCAGGCAGGCACTTAGGTCACTGAACCATCTCCTTGAACTGGTGGTGATCTTCCTGCTCAGCTTCCTGAGTTTGAGATTATAGATGGAGGCCACCACGCCCAATGAGAAATGATTCCCCTGATTGTTACTTCTTTTTTATTTCCAAAATTTTACTATTTCTGAAACATACTGAAGTGTCTGTTTGTGTGGATATGACCGTGACAATCTACAGGAAAATTTTAGAATTGAAATTTATCAACAGGAATGCATGCTATCTAAAAAAAAAGTGTCAGATTTTTTTTCCAGTCATCATCAGTATTGAATGAGATTGGTCACTCAGATTTTATTAGTTAAGCAAATGCAATTATCATGTTGAGAATTACAGGTACTTAAAAATTGTTATTTGGTTTTGATATTATGGCTTGAATTCAGGGTCTGTGTACACTGGAGAACTGGTCTACCACTGAGCTACTCCTTGTTTGAAATTCAGCCTTATAATTATTAGTGAACCTACACATTTTCCCACGTATTTTTTGTTGCTTTTGTCTCTTAAGGTTTGTTCATGTCATCTGCTCATTTCCATTCTACTTTGTACCTCCTTCTTCCTGTTCTACAAATGTTTTCAATAGCTTAGCGGTAACTGGTATCCTTGTTACAAGTGCTACAAACCTTTTTTCCCTATGTTGTCCTTTTACTTACTGATTTTTAAAGGCATTACTTGAAAATTTTTTAATATTTCCTTTCATAAAATAAATTCAGACCCCTAAAAGCTCATGGAAACAGTACACAGAACTTCTGTGCCTCATTTACACAGCTTGTCCAAATATTAACTTTATGTTGCCACAGTAGCTATCAGTGGCAGGAAATAATCATTGATACAAAACATTGTCGAAGCTCGAGGCCTTGTTCTTATTTCACCAAAGTCCTTCTCCTGGTGGAGGTTCCAGTCTAGAATCACACATGTCTCTTCAGTCTTTTAAATCTAGGATGGTTCTTTAGCTTTAGTTCTTTAGATGCATGATGCTGGCACTTTCTGAGTACTGACTGGTTACTTTGTAAAAAAAAAATTCCTTGGTTGAGCTCATCTGTTGCTTCTAGGGTGTGACCATGTGTGGCGAGGGAAATGGGTAGGCAGCTGCAGTGAGATCTGAGGGTGGGTCCATTTCCATCGGCTTTGCCTGGTGCAGCCGTGCCGTGCGGGGGCTGTGATGCCCAGTCAGGGTGCTTAGAAGGCTGGGCGGAGTCACCCTGGTCCAGCCTGGTTTGGTGAGACTATTAGGACACACACAAGTCTTCCTTGAGTTCTGTGGCATCAGTTCACTGTAGCCAATGAGAAGAAAGGTGAGGGGCCAGTGAGATAGCTCAGCATACTAAAGCATCTGCTTAGGCAAGCTCAGGCAAGCTCAGGGACCGCAGTTTGATTCCTGGCACCACATGACCCGCCAGCCCTGCCCCCAGAGTGGGTGAGCCAGCCAGAGTCAGGACATAGTGGCACATGCCAATAATCTCAGTGCTGGGGAGGCTGAAAACAGGAGGATCACCATGAGGCTGAGCTGCATAGTGAGACCCTGCAACAACCAAATAACATTTAAAAAGAAGAAGAAGAAGAAGAAGAAGAAGAAGAAGAAGAAGAAGAAGAAGAAGAAGAAGAAGAAAGGTGAATATAGTACGATGAAATCTGAAGGCAGAGACCACATTCATATAATTTTTATTATATTTATCTTATTTATTATTAATTACTGTTAATTTCCTACCCTTCCTAACTTATAAATTGAACTTCATCATAGGTATGTTTTTCTAGGGAAAAAAGAGTATATGCAAAGTTTGCTAAGTGGAACATACCTTCCATGGGTAAGGGGAACTGCTCAATGACAATAGCAATGAAAAGTCATGAAGGGGTTTTAAGACAAGAAATGGGAGCTGAGTCACGTTTTATAAGCGACGATGCATGCTGCAGGTGCCGTTAATCAGAAGGGAGCAAGATGGAAACAGACCCAGTGAGAGGGCTCTTCTCACATGCGGAGCAAAGGCAGGCAGGCCAGGGCTCAGAGGGCTCACTTCTGAGAGCTACTTGGCCAGTGACTCAGCGCCCACAGTGTGGGTGGGCGTGGGCCACGGCTACTGCCTGGGCTTGCTGTGTTTTGTGTAATGGATCAGATGCTGGTACTGGTCACCTTTTGATGGAGCCAGAAACAGTGTCATCTCCAGCTCCTTCATTTAGATGCTGACATTAACAGTATCTTTGCTTAATTATGCCCTGACTGCCCTACATCTGTAGGGCTGCCAAGTTCTATGATTTTTCTTCAAAATATCCCCCAGTGGCTGTTTATTCTTTTCCTCATCTTCAGCGCAGAGCTGAGCTCCCTTTTCACCGTGACGAGCTTCCCAGCCCAGTGGCTACCCCTTGCTCTCCTCTCCCCTTCCTCCTAGGCCATTTCACTTGCAAATAGGAACTGAGCGTCTGTTCTGCCCCGGTATCACCTTAGTAGCAGAGCTGAGAATTATGTGAGCAGTTAAATATGTTAGAGGAGGCTAAGTTATGTCGCCTTGAGGTAGCAAGGAACCATCTTTGTTTCATTCCTGACGTAAAAATAAAATTACATGTTGATAGCAGCAATTTATCCAAACCTGGCTGCACATAGCTGTGTCAGAAGAAACAGGATAGACTTATTTAATGTGTTTATTGTTATTATAGTGTTTAATGAAGGCTAAAGAACATAGCTACTTGGAAAAAGATCTGGGCTGGGAATACAGCTCTGCAGTAGAGTGCCTGCCCAGCGTGTGCAAGCCCTAGTTTTGACCCCAGGCTTCAGTGTGTGTGAGGGATATTGTTTACATTTTATGTAAAAGTAAAATAACTTTTTTTTTTTTTTTTTTTTTTATATGTAATTTTTC